CACACACACCCACAAGAGGTGGACTAATTGTTGCTTCTCTTCAGGTCGTCAGCATAAATTCTTTTTAAACATAGTCATCTCAACATATAGATCTGAATCTATAAGTTTCTTAGATTATCAAATCACATTAAAATGGACTCTAGAAGTGATAACCAAGCAGGTCATATAAGAATGCATAATGATACAAAGGAGCCTTTTAATGTAGGTAGCGAGTCGTGCGTGAGCATGAGGCAGGGACGTTAATTATGTGTTGTTTTATAAGTGGTTGTGAGGACGTTCACCACTTAAATGGATGAGGATATAAAAATATTATAATTGTAATCATCAGTTTCAGGCTGCTAATCTGGGTCCCAGTCATATTTTAGGAGGATATAGATTAGAGGAAGGTAATAGGCGTTAGCGAAAGTGCAGCGGACAATTAAATAGGAGATAAATGGAATCACTATCTAGAGCAGGAGTGAAAGGTAAGGATTCAGTGAACATAAATGCAGAGAGATAGCTATAATAATCCTGCTGGTTGACAGCTGTTAAACTCAGGAGATATTTATGTATCGGTAGTTTGAAAAGCGATGAAGACAGGAATGATTTAATTGCGCTGTAGAGTTTAAAGAACACATACGTATGCACGAGGTTAGTGGAATCACAGTGTGGAGCAGGATGAGTATCGAACTGTAGAGGCACTCAGGTGGTGGAAGAGTGCTGTCCTGTAATGACCGTCGCGGAATCGTCTCTGTATACTTCTGAGACTTCATGTTCAAAAATCTTCCTACGGTGTACAGTGCGCCACCAGAGGATCCTCAGGTTCGGGGGAGACCAGGAGCAGGAGGTCGGTTGGGTCTTCAAAGGTGGCGGAGACGGCAAGGCGAGGAGGAGGTGAAGAGGCATGCAAGGCACTACCAGAGTCGTTAACATGTCTCTTCCTCTCTCGTGTAACACCTCCTCTTCCTCCCTCCTGGAAACTGGAATGTAGAGGCTCGTTGTAACAGGTGCAGGAGAACAGAAAGATTGAGAAATTCCAGATATCAGGAAATTAGTCTTTGCTCTGAGCTGACGTCTGACTCTCTGTCTTGTGTTGTTTTGGTTGTTGTAGTCAGCAGGAAGTATAGCCAGAATGGGAAGACGATGGGCGAGTTCGACGACTGGAAAAGCAAAAGAGCGGGGAGAGGATGTCCACGGCTCGTGAGATCATGGTGATGCTGGGGAAACGGTAGGAGAGTGGGGGTCTGCAGTTATTATCCAGGATTTAATCGCCTGATTACGTTCAAGATTCAGATTGAAATAACTATTCAGTCCAGCAAAATGACTGAGTGTTTATTTAAAAAAAGTCTGTTGAGGCATGCTGAGGAGCTTTGGTTTCTTCTGTTAAGGATAAGGCCTCACGTGTGATGATAGATGGAGATCAATGTTGTGTCGTTACGAGGAACGGGAGAAACCAGACGAGGTTGCATGGCAGACGAGGTAGGGCTGGAGGACCAAAGATATGACGGAGGAGATAGAGTGTGTCCTCACCACACACGGCGACCCGGAACAGGCAGCAGCCTGACGACTTTAACGTGGTTAGAAATAAGCTGACATGAGGCTAAAGGTTGAACAGACAAGAAAACCAAAACGGCGACCTGAACAGGAAGTTTTCTCTCAGCTGTGTGAAACAGGAAGTCCAGATAACTCATTAAACGGCGTTCTCATCTCTGTGATTTGATGCGTCTTACGAGACCTGCACGACGTCTTTATTCAGAGTTTTATTGAAGGCAAGGTCGAGCTGTAGCAAATTCCACCAAATGTACGCCGAACGTCTCAGGGGACACCCAGGAGCAAAGGTACATCAGATGAACAGGATGAGGTAGTGGAAAATTGGAAAAGAACAGAGACCACGGACACTTTCTTAGAACTTACATATTTGAGGCTTGGTACTTTAAGTCTGGATGGACAGTCTTACAGTGATCACGAGCTAAGTTGAGGATGGGAACCTCACCTGAAAAAAGAGAGAGAGCAGGTTGAGTGTAGACTGTGTGTGTGTGTGTGTGTGTGTGTGTGTGTGTGTGTGTGTTAGTGCAGCGTGAGATCCAGCAGAGGGCGCTCCACAGTCAGCACACTGTCAGGGCTTTCAGTGAACTCAGCCACGTATGTTATCTACTACAAAAATGGAGCAGACGAGCGAGCGAAGCCGTCCTGAACACTGTGTCCTGTAAGATACGTTGAAGACAACTTAAAGTTAAGAGTCGTGTCCGTCTGTTCTTCACTTTTCTCAACAACTGTTCATCTGAATGTATGTCTGGGGATTCGAGGACGTTCGGCGTCAAATTTGGTGGAATTTGGACACACGATGCGTTCAATAAACTCTGAATAAAGACGTGTGCAGCTGAAGAGTCGATCACAAAGCACAGAGATGAGACGCCGTTTAAAGAGTTTATCTGACTTCCTGTTTCACCACAGCTGAGAGAAACTGTCCTGTTCAGTCAGCGTTTGTGTTTTCTTGCTGTTGAACTCTAATGTACGGCTATTTAAAACACGTTAAAGTCGTCAGGCTGCTGCTGTTCGGCGCCGTGTGTGTGAGACACACACTCACCTCCTCCGTCAGATTTGAGTCCTCCAGCCAACATCCTGATGAAGGTGGTCTTCCCCGTTCCTGCAGACACAAACACAATATCATCACAGTGACTTATTTAACAGAAGAAACCAAAGCTCCAGCAGCTCCAACAGATTCTTTTAAATAACACTCAGTCATTTTTGGACTGAATGTTATTTCAATCTGAATCTTTGAACAGTTAATCAGGTCCAGATTAAATCCTGGATAATAAACTGCAGACCCCCACTCACCGTTCTCTCCCAGCATCACCATGATCTCAGAGTCCGTGAACTCTCCCGCTTTGATCTCCAGTGTGAACTCGCCCATCGTCTTCCCCATTTCTGGATACTGAACAACAACAACAACAACAACAGACAGAGAGTCAGACGTCAGCTCAGAGCACACAGACTATTTCCTGATATCTGGACATTTTAATCCGTTTCTTTCTCTGACTGGAAAACGAGCCTCTACATTTCCAGGTTTCCAGGAGGAGGAAGAGGAGGTGTTAACCAGAGAGAGGAAGAGAAATGTAAACAGACCTGGTAGTGCCTGAGCCTCTTCACCTCCTCCTCGTTGGCCGTCTCCGCCACCTTGAAGACCAACGAGGTCTCCCGAAACCTGAGATTCTCCGTGGGGACGTAACCGTCCAGGAAGATGTTGATACCTGAAGTTCAGAAGTTACAGAGACGATTCAGGAGGTCATTACAGGAAACACTTCCACAAGGAGTGCGGCTCAAATACAGTCATATTGTCACACTGTGATTCACTAACAGCTGATAGATGATGACTTTAAATTACAGCGCAATTAAATTCAATTTAAGAGCTTTTAAAGATCACATAAAATATAGTTTAACAGCTGATTCACCAGCAGATTATTATAGAATTATTATTTAGAATTATTTATTAGATAGTGAATTCATTTATATCATTTAATTGTCCGTACTTCGCAGCTATAATTAATTATAAATAATATGACTGGGACCCAGATTAGCAGCCTGAAACTGATGGATTACACATTATATATTCTTTTATTATATTATATTAAGTGTGTAACGTCTCCTCACAACCACTTATAAAACAACACATAATTAACGTCCCTGTCTACAGCAGGAAAGAGAAAACATTAAAGACATTTGTACATTAGATTTAAGACTCTTTATCACCTTCTGAGGCCTTTTTTGTGCTGATTTAACTAAATTCAATGTTTATAAAGACTTTACGACCTGCAGAGAACATTAGTCCACTCTGTGTGTGTGTGTGT